TGTATTGAGTCACTTACACTCTCAGATAATGATGGTAGAGCAATGTGTCTATCAGGCAGCATTCTAATCTGGCGAAGAGTTAGCAAGACCGGGGCAGGTGGGCCAGAGACAGGTAGAGACATGCGCGTCCTGTGTTTCACCGTGGTGTTCTTTCACTCCATCGTCGTTCTGCTTATTTTACGGTTTCCTATAAGCCTGTTCCAGAGGCTAAATTTAGATTTGTTATGACACTTTAAGAAATCCCTCCCTCTCTACACATGGTTGGGCAATTATTTCTGAGGGGAATCACTAAAAACGCAGCCTTTCATCGGGTGGTGGGGGAGGGCAGGACAGCTCACAGAGCTGGGGTGAGAGATGGGTGGTCCAGATGCACCTCCTCGGGAGAGGGTGGTGGGATTTCGGAAGATTGCGTGATGGAAACGCCTGAGGTTTCTGAAGACGTGGGAAGGGGTTCCCACGCGATGCAGAAGCCCACACAGGACCACACCCTGCGCCTTAGTGTTGGACCGACTCGCTGCTTGGAAAGGGCCGTTCATTAAAAGCACAGGAGCATCCTTCTTCCAGCGACCAAATGCATTTAGCTCACTTCGGTGACATCACTCGAAATGTGACGTCACAATTAGAAAAGGTAACTCACTTTGTCCCGTAGATGGTGGGTTGGGAGCCAGTGAAATCAATGGCTTTGCTCCCCTGGCTTCCTCAGCTGAGTCAGAAGTCGTTGGTCACGGCGCACTTGGCCTTTCTGCTCGGCTTAAAGAGCCCAAACCTGGGAGGACTTTGGGCCAATCTGATTATTTCCTCTCCCATAATTGGTTTTGCCCCACTGAATTCAATGAATTGCCTGGTTGTTTTGTCACCGTGGGACACGGTTTAATCCACTTAGAGGGAGGCGCTTGGCAGACGCTGGGGCTCGTGAAGCCTTGATCATCGGGATCATCTCTGGGTGATTTTTCCTGGGGCGGGGGCGGACACGCCTTCGGTCTCTCCATTGTCATCCACGTGACTTGCTCCGCCCTGGACAAGCCATCTCCCCTGATCCCGGCTGATCTTGTAACCCGGTTTCCTGCCTCTATCCCCTCTCTCCCAAAGTGAGTCTCTGCTAACTAAGGAGTAGTTGTGGCCTGCTCCTTTAAAGATGTGGGACCCAGCTGAAAACACCAGTTTCTGCACAACGACTAAGACCTACACCCCTTTCGGTCTCTGGCCTGCCCCCTGCAAGGTCCGAGCCCCTGTGGGCTTCCCCGCCATCCCATGACCTCGGCCCTGCTCAGCACCCTCCTTCCCCGATGGCTGCACTGGCTCCTTCCTCCCACGCTTCTTCCCACCCCAGGGCCTTTGCACCTGTTCTTTCTTCACCTGGAACGGCCTCTGTGGGCGAGGCCTTCCTCAGTCCCGTGAATCAGTTACCCGCCACTGCTCCCTGTAATGTGGCATTACTCTCTGCATTACGCCTTTGATCATTTCTCTCTCTTCCCCTGTTTATTGTCATCATCGCCTGTTTACCGTTACTCTCTGGTAAGTTCATTTCCTGCATGGCCCCTGTCAAGCCCGAACCGATCTCATCTGCATCGTCTGTTTGTCTCTGTTTCTCTCCCTCTTGGGACAGAGCTCCTGAGGGCCTGGCACCTTTGTCTGGTTCTCTGATGCCTCAGGGCTGGGCGCTGTGGCCGGTCATGGAGGGAGGGGCCTCGGGCTCTGCATGTTAAGCCAATGGCTTGGTTCTGCATCATCGGACAACTCCGAGATGCTGGTGCTCAACTGAAGGTTGTATTAAAGGGAAAATCATTGCTTCTGTTCCCAAGACGTTGCACTTGCTGATTTGCTCAGGATTAGTGTACTTGGTAATCCAGCACCCTGCCCCCTGAGTAGGCTTGTCCTTTTGGTTCAAGATGAAGGACAGAACACGTTCATTTGCCTCCAATTTCCTCGAAAAATCTGGGACAAATTAGTAAAGAAACGTGTTTGGGATGCTCCGGCCCCCAAGGACAAAATGGCAGAGGAAATGGTGCCGCCGCTGTGGGGATGGAACGCGGAGCCCGAGAGCCACCGATTTAGGGGATGCCAGAGGGTCCCGATTCAGCAGTGGGTAAGACCTTAAAAACTCAAGAGATGTATGGGGCTGAGCCCAGAAAGACTGGATGGAAGACTAAGCAGCAGGCAGACCTCCTAAGCCATCCCTGCTTCTCACAGCCTGGTCCCTTCCCTCGCCCCCCTCCCCGCCCCCAGCAGAATACTGGGGGCTTAGTCTTTGGAGCGGGTACAAGATGCCAGGGACACCGGGCACAGTTACGTCAGCAGGGAGCGAGGGGACTCCATTGAAAACAGAGGGTTTAACCCAATCGCTGATGCTGCACATCGAGTCCCCCACCTCGTCCCCAGTTCAAGGCCGGAATGCCATCCTTCCAGCCAGCAGCCTACAGGGTCCTCAGAGAAGCCACCAGCCTGTGTGGGGACCTACAGAGAATGACTCCGGGGCGTGCCACTTGGACAGGGAGACCAGAGAGCCCAGCGGGCGGCCTGCGGTTGGCAAGCTGCCCTTGTAAGGAGCTGCCCACCCGCGTTTTTGTGCCCATTTCTTAAGTGTGGATGGATAGCTCAGACTGCCGACTGCCTCAGGAAAATCTTTACTATGGAAGAAGAAAAGGAATCAGAAGCAAAGGAACTTGGCAGAGAGAGAGACTGTGTAGGGAGAGACAAACTTTAGCGATAACAACAAATTATTATGGATAATGTTAACAGAGATATGAGAGAAGCTGGCGGAGCCATGAAATAATAGCAGGATGCTATGACAAAGGAATAACAACAATAATAATTAATAGTAATAGTGGGCACTTAGGAGTGAAAACCACGATAGCAGAAATAGACACATAGAAGTTGGGATAGAAAATGGAAAGAATTCTCCCAAAAGTAAAATAAAAAAAAAAATAAACAAAGAAGTAGAAAATAGAAGAGAAAAGGTAAGAAATATAGAGGATTAGACCAGGAGGTCCAATAGCCTCATAGAGAGAGTGAAAAGACAAAACATAAGGGGGGAAAAATCAAAGAAATAAGAGAGTTTCCTAAGACTGAATCAAAAGGCCGCACCAGGGCCCAGACAATGAAGACAAATAGATCAGGACCATGGTGACAAGGAGACAATGAAGAGCCTGGGGAATTTCAGAGACAGAGAGCAACATACAAAGGGATCGTCCGGAGGCTCGTGAATCATAAGTCACGTTGGCTCCAGACTTCTCAGCGGCTAGAACGGAGTGGGCCCCGGCTGCTATTCCGAAGGAAAATAAATCCTAATTCAGAATGTTCCACTCAGTCCAGCAGCCAGTTGGGGTCTAAGCCACTTTATTTCACGCATCCTTTCTCACGAAGCGGCCAGGAGTTTCGCATTAGGAAAGTGAGAGAGGAAACCAAAAGAACCCTGAGGGTCCCGGAACCAGGGGCGGGAGTGGGAGGGGGAGGCCCAGGGGCAGCAGCCGGGGAGCAGATGGGAGGGGTTCCCGAGTGGCGGTCAGCAGCCGATACAGCTGTGGGGGGGCCTGAGGGAAAGGGGCGAGGGAGGTAGGGGAGGGCTCGGGTATGTGGGGTGACGGGAGGAGACTTGATTTGGGGCGGCGGACACACCATGAGTTGTAGACAGACGCCATCCTAGAGACTTGTTTGCCCAAAACCTGTATGATTTTATTAACCATTGTCACCCCAATCAGCTCAATAATTTTTATTTGTAAAGAGAGGAAAGTTTCATGAGAGATCTAAGAAAATGAAATGAAACCTTAGACCACAGGATAGGAGATTGGAGGATGATTTCAGTAGTAAATTCATAGACAACTAAGCAAAGGAAGAAAAGCAAAGTAACGCTGAACTCCAGGAAAAACCGGGCGGGCAAGAAAGGCGGTGCCGCCGTGGTACGCCGTGTGGCTCAGGCATGACAAGCACGTTCCTGGACACACGAACGCAAACACTGAATGTCCCTAGAAGGTCATGACCGTGTTCATGTTACTGCTGAGAACAGAGAGGGCTGGGCAGTGCACATGCCCGTGAGGGGACGAGGGCTGTGGGTAAGGGGCGCTCACTCACCCCAAGCCTTCCTCTCCCCCACAGAAGTCATGGACTAGCGTCCAAACTGGAAAAAACAAAACAAAAAAACAGCCAAAACCAAAGTGAGGTAGACCAGGAATAGTGCTAGTCCCCTGTTTTCCGGAGGGAAGGAGATACATAGGAAAAGAACCCAAGGCGGGAAACCGGGAGTGGGTGGGCAGGTGTCGCTGTTTTTCTTGATAAGTAGAAAGGTTTGACTTTTAAAAAGTCCTTGCATTTGTCACTCTAATCAAACTAAAAGCAACTTTAAAAGGAAGCCGAATGCTTTTCTCTGGCGACACAGCCATTCCGGGATGTTTTTCTGATCTTCACTCAGGGTGTCCTCTATCCTGGGGGGCATTTCTGGGGTGCTTTGGGCCTGTGTTCCAGGGCGGGGCTGCTGGGTGGGTGTTATTAATGTCACGCCTTTGTCTCCCCTTTTCCCCTCAAACCCCCAACATGAAACAACAACCACCACAAACAACAGAGACGCAAAGCTGGGCTCACCTGGCACCTGCTGCCCTGAGCTCTGATGACGTCGCCATGACGCAGGGGGAGCTTCTGTGTCCACCTCCGGCCTGAATGAATGGCCAGAGAATTCAGGCTGGTCTCAAACTCACACAGGTGGCTAGGAGCGTGGCTCTGACGAGAAAAGGCTGCAGAAGAGATTTTTTAAAAATATAAGTAATTGAGGGATTTTTCTGTCTTTGGGTGTTGGTTTTTGCCACTCCTTTCCTGGTCTTAGCAACAGGGAGACGTGGTATTTGGCCACAGGAAAGGGTCCAAAGTCCATTGATTTTCCCGATGCGCCTCTTGCACCCAGAGCGAATGATCTCAGGGCTGGTCGTTAAGACACAGGTAAACCCCTAGGAAATCGCGGTTTGCTGATTATATGGCTTCAGGTGTGTCTCACTGTGCCTCCCCACTTTCAGGGCTGAGTCTGCAAGAGGAGCCATCTCGAGCCCCCTCAGCCTCGCCTGCTGGTTGCGGGAAGGGAGAGAAGGAGGAGGAAGACTGCAGGCCAACTGCCGGAGGCGGCCCCCCCAGCGCAAGGCCGACGGACAGGGACCCGTTAGCGGTGCAGGTGGGCATTATGATTTGGGCGTGTCCCGGCCCATCCGTCGTCTGGGTTCCTGGCTCTGTGCTCCTTGTCGGTGGTGTTCCGTGTGCTCAGGACTGGTTGGGAAGCCAGCTGAGAACACCCGGCGATCTCGTGTTGACCGGGACCAAGACTCGCCTTCATGCCCCGATTAGTTGTTAGCGGAAACCGACGGAGACCATGAGATAGAAGTGCACGCTCGGGAAAGAGTCATTCAGAGTCTCCAGACCTTGTTTTCATTGAGGACCCTGGTTTCCAACCTAAGTTTTTTGTGCCAATTAACCTTTCCCCCTCGTATATTGTCCTTTGCATTTTGTTACAGGATGCGATTCTGTCTGCCGGCGAGCCCGGCGACTGTTGTCCTCAGGACACTTCGGTCAGCTCGGGGTTGTCGCTGCCACCTGACTCCTACATACAAGCGGCCAGGAACAGCCTTCCGTCCCACGGCACAGGTCTCGGCGTGGGATTTCTTGAGACTCAGCAGCCGCCTCCCCAGGAGCAAGTGCTGGCAGATCCCAAACTGTGCGTGGTCTCAGATGCTCGAGACCCTTCATCATTTGAGTCCAAAGGAAACTCTCTCCGCCAAGACGTTGCCACCTCTGTGGCCACCGTCTGCACTTCCCTGGGGGCAAGAGGAGGTCACGCAACCGTGGGAAGTCACTGTGCAGAGCCACAGGAGCAGGACCGAGCTTCAGGGGAGACAGTGACACACGGCAGCTCCCCGGACAGACAAGCTGCAGCACAGGGCACGTCACCGTCACTCCTGCCGGGGAAACCCTGCCCGGGGCAGAGACTCTCAGGTACGGTCCCAGCGAGGCCACCTGGAAAAACTCACCCTGAAATATCAGCTTCAGGACCAGGCTCCCGCCAAGAGGAAGAGAGACCCAAGGCGCCTTTCTCTTCCGGGGGGCAGCCTGGGTGTGGGGAGATGCTCGCCCCCGGCCCTCCCTTGGGAAAGAACAGTGAGACGTGCCAAGAATCTGGATTCGCGGCTCTGAAGGATTGTGTGGTTCCTTCTAAGCCGGGGCCGTCCACGGAAGTCCCACAGGCCCCTTCGAAAACAATCAAGAAAAGGAGTTTGGAAGGGATGAGGAAGCAAAGCCGAGTGGAGTTCAGCGACAGCAGCAGTGACGATGAAGACCGGCTTGTGATAGAGATCTGAAGCCCCCAGGAAAGACGGCGTCAGTGGCCAGAGGTGGCCGATGCGCCCCAGTGAATGCCAACCTGGCAGGACACCCGAACCCCCACCACGCGGCACCTAGAGATCGGAAAGCCATTTGGGGCTCTTTCCAAGACGTCCCCAACCAGCTTCGAACCCCTGACTCAGCTTCACCAGCGTCCCACTGGTGTCCACGGCAGGGCAGAGGTGACATGAAGCAAGTCTAAGAATGCTCGACACACAGTGACTGTGGCTGGACCCCCAGTGGTGTCCTTTGGCTCCGTCCACCACAGCCTCCTCCGTGAAGTGGCTTTATCCCCGAGAGCCGTGACCGGCCCACGTATCAACACATGGGTCTGATTGAGTCCAGGCAACTGACCTCCTGATTAGTGGACTGCGGGTGGGCGCCCGAGGCTTAGTTGGGAGAGTGGGGCATGAATGGGGCACCAAGTCACTGCAGTGCACACTGGAGACAGAATTCAGATTTGTGCAAAAACTGAAGTTTGGTCAGGATGATTTTTCTCTTCTACCGGAGCTGTAAATATGCTTCCAGATGTGTGTCATCTGGTGGGACGCTGATGACACTTCCATGGCACACCAACGGCCGGCGCTCCGTGAGAGTCAGAGACACAGGCTGTCCCATCTCGTGCCCGGTGCCTCTTCCGTCAAGACCTCTGAAGCCCTCGGTTTTCCCAGCTCTTGCAAAGGAATGCTGTGTTAAAAGTTAATAGCACAGTCTCTGGAATGAGTCATTTTTTCTGAGGGGGAAAAATTCACTTATTTTCCTCTGATGCTCTTTGTCATATTGTGCTCTGAGCAACTTCAATTAGAGGGTTACATTTTAGTAATCGCTGCAGCTTAAATTGATGCCTGCTCATCGTGACGGGGGCCTTTTGGTTTCCTCCCGAAGCTTCAAGGATACAAAACTAATTGGAGTTTTGACGCTGTTTTACATCTCAGTAATTTTATTTTGGGGGCTTGGTGTTACTTTGCTGTCAAATTAAATCAGCCTCTGTATTGTGCAAGTCAGAACAGCACACACACACACACACACACACACACACACACAATCCCCCAGTGTTTCAAGCTGGCACACCCCTGTGCAGAACAGAATAGTTGCTCTGCATCTGCAGCCCGGTGAGCAAAGCCTCAGGCGTCCTGCCTGTTTCTCCTCCTTCGATGGCGGAGGAAGAACTTCAGGAGACTGACGCTGCTGCATTTCAATAACATGTTGAACTTGGTGTTGGTACGATTTTGTGGGCTCCGAAATTTACAGCTGAGCTCTCTGGGCTTACCCTTGGTGGAAGCGTGGTCTGGGCACAGCTTGTATTTCAAAGGCAGGATGCAAAACATCTCACACCTACGAACACACTTCAGTGTGTCTTTGCCTGCGACAGAAAATGGGGTTGCTTTTCATGTAACTTCATGTGAATCTTCTGGTTTTAGGGTGATTGATTGATAGAAAACTTGAATGAGGGGCCAGTTAGCTTCCCCTGAGGACTCAGACTGTGTCTGTGGTCATTTTACCTGAGCTCATAAATGCCGCAGTGGTTTCGAGCCCAGCCAAGAAATACAGGAGAAGGGAGGGTAAGAAGAATGTTAGGTATTTACTTTCTGTACTTTCTGAACCAAACGAAAGTGTTGTGGTGGTTACCGACCCTTCGAATGGACCCTGCTACCTTGATGAGAGAGGCTGTCTGGGGAAGTGGTCCCAGTCCTGTGCAGAGGAAGAGTCAAGGTCTGACCTTACCCTTCACCCGCTGGGAAATCTTGGTTAAGGCGTACGCCCTGTCTGTGCCTTGGTTTCTCCAAAGGAGCAGGTGAGCTCAGTATGCCTGCAGGCTCCCATCCTTGTGAGGAAGCATACGCTGCCGTCTTCTTGATGTAGGAGGCTTTTGTGGCTTGGGGGTGGTGCCCACGGGGAGAGATCTTGCACCCAAGAAGTTTGGGAGGGGAACCACAACCAAAACACCTTCAGCCAATTATTCCCATGAAGAACTTGAGCTCAGAGGTGCTGCCCTGATTTTTCCCCCAGAGTTCCAGATTTGGGGGCATAGTCATGCAGTTTATTGATGTTGGTTCATAATTCAGAAAATTAAAAAAAATACCCAGAACGCTACTATGTGAATGGAAGACGGTATGTCCACAGGCTGAACTTGCCACCTTGTCTTGGGAGGCACTGACTCGGGGAGAACAGTCTTCCAGATTCTCCCCTCCTGGGTGGTGGCCGAGCAGTCACCTGGTCTACTGGGCCTCAGTCAGCAAGTCAGCCCCACTGGCACCGGCCCGGGCATGGTGACGGAACCTCTGTCCTTCTGTGAGCTACTGCTTTGGGTGGGCACCTCCCAACCCCGATGAAATATGATGGAAAGTTGAGTTTGACTCTCACTCCCTGTGTTTCTCATAGAGGGGAGCAGGTGGACACACCATCCTGTCTTAGCCGGTCATTTAGCCAGTGACCGATAAAAGCAAAGTGTACCTTACTTTACATCCATGCAAACTGGTGCAAAGCTGTATTTCGGTGGCTTTAAAAATAAACAAAAAATGTAGTTTGAACGACCCTAGAGTAGCTGGCTGTTGGAAATCATCCTAAGGTAAAGATTTTTTTTTTTCAGTGATGAAGCCTTTTGTAAAGCAACAGTCTCCGATGTTGATAAATCTTCATTTCCTATGGGTTTTCTTAAAGCAGAAGGCAATCCCAGGGATACATTTTAAGGATAACATCAGTGACATATAACCCAGTTCGGGTTAGCAAAAATAAACTTCAACATTATCAGTTAATAATAGCTACAGTTTTATATGCTGTACGCATGTCTGTGTGCCAGTTAAAAAACCACCAATCTAATTTAGAACAAGGCCAAACAGAGTTGAAAGATCAAGCCCCCAACCCCCGCTCTTCCCAGTGGGATTAATTGTATTGCACCTTTGGGTAAGGGTCTTAGCCCTGGTGCCTCAGTTTCCTTCACAGAGAAGAAATCCAGGGGTGCTGGCATGAACTCAGACAAAGGGTCACTTGGAAACCTTGGCGATTTTGGGGGGCAAAGTAGACAAGTACTAAGATGCTCAAGACTCCCTGCGAGGTTTATTTCTCCCGCCGTGCCCGCACCTGGCCAGATCTTGCTTGTTGGAGGTGCGTGGAGGAAAGAGGTCTCCCATCTGCCCTTGGGGTGGAGAGGTTTCCGAAAGTCACGTGGCCTTTGATGGACAGCTCGAACCCTCCTTGCCGGAAGGCGTGATGGAGTGCAATTCATCCACCCTGTTAGGTATAACCCTGAGATTCTGCACGAAGCCCACGTCCCTTTAATCCATGACCCAGCAGAACCTGTGGTTCATTTACCAAAAAGTGAAAATAAAGAGGGGCCGAGGGCCTCTGGATTCTAATCAAAACCTTGCCCGTAGCATGGTGGGTGTCTGGGGGCAAGGTGAGTGCCCCCTTTCAAAAGTCCCTCCTCCGTTATGGGAGGATATGTGTTGCAAAAATGTGTGGCAACCCCGGTTCTTGGCACCCAAGGGGAACGGCGGGCAGCCTCAGGCCACAGACTTTTTCCTTGACTTTCTGTGCATTGCTGAGAATAATCACATTCTTTTATTTTTTCCCCCCAGCATAGATATTTGCCTTTTGCACAAGATTTTTATAGTGAGGGAAACCGTCATGATCAACAGCCTGCTCAGCTGCTTGCCTCCCCAGACGGGATTTCACTCGGTGAGGCAAAGATGGGCGATCGCGCTCCTGCCACGGTGGCAAGCGCGGCGTGGGTGTTTTTGTTCAGTCCAGCTGTGATCCCCACCTCTCTTGTGAGGGACACTCTCGGGCTTTGGAAACACTATATCTCTCTACTCTTAAGCACAATATCTCGCCCTGGTCTTTCCTAACTCATCAGATAGAGGTGTCAGGACCCAGCAGATCTTGTGAGCCAGGCTTGTTCCCTGAGCCAGTCTCTCTACCCATGCTTTTTACTGATGTGGGACCAGATGTAATTTGATCTGAAGAAGTATGGGGACATTTCTTTGAGCGTGACGCCTCACCACGGGGAGAGGAGCAGCCAGGGATGCTGTCAGCCCCCGTCCCTCGCAGCCCTCCGGGATGACTCACATCCTGTGTGTGCGCTCAGCTGTTCAGAGCTTGCTGCTCTATCGATTATTCATAATCAGGGAAGTGGTTGGCTTCTTGATTGTTTGTTGAAACTTCCTTCCTTCTTTCTATGGTTAAATTATTTTGTTTTGATAAAAATAAAACTGAAAATGAGAGTGTCTAGGGTGATTTGTTAATGTTTGAACCAGACATACCCGAAGCAATGTCCCGTACGAGTTGGATATCTGATTAGTCCCCAGTACTGGACATCCCGTCCGCCATATTGGTAGCCCATTCCATTCAACGGAAGGAGGAGGCGATGGCAAAGGGTCACATTTCCTCGGGCTGCTTCCTTTTCCCGAGTGTCTCACTTATTACTGTCTGCCATATTTTAGAGTTCATTCCTTAAAAATGTAGCTGAATGTGGAGGCTGTGGGAAGGCCCTGTCCCCGGAGCAATAATCCCAAACTCTCCCCCTTTAAGTTGAGGTTTCCTGGGTAGTTAATGTTATTCACTGACAGAGAAGACGCCCTTAATTCAAAACAATATCTCCTTATGAAGATAATTCATGTGCTCTTTGTAAGGATAAGTGTGCCTGTTTTATACACCTGCACAATATTCTTCTTCTCCATCTATACATCTTTTTTTTTTAATTAATTTTTTATTGATTATGCCATTACAGTTGTTCTATGCCCCCCTTCATTCCCCTCCACCCTAACCCCCGTCCCCACCATTACCCCCCCCTTTAGTTTATGACCATGTGTCTCAAGTTCTTTAGATTCTATATTTCCCATACTATTCTTGCCCCCCCCATCAATTTTCTACCTACTGTCTATGCTACTTATTTTCTGTACCTTCTTTCCCCTTCTCCTCCTCCCACTCCCCTGTTGCTAACCCTCCTTGAGATCTTCATTTCTATGTTTCTGCTCCTGATCTAGCTGTCCTTTTAGTTTGCTTTTGTTTTAGGTGTGGTTGTTAATAACTGTGAGTTTGCTGTCCTTTCACTGTTCATATTTTTTTAACTTCTTTTTCTTAGATAAGTCCCTTTAACATTTCATATAACATCTTGAAGGCACTTGAAGTCAATGGGGACACAAGGTCTTGTGGGGGAAACTGGGAACGGAAACATGGAAAGAACAGCTCTACTAATTGAGGGATCTTAATAGCATTTTCCCTAACTCATCGGACTCTAATAGTAATAAATTAATTCATCATTTCCAAATTTCAGCCATTTGAGAACCATTGTAATGCTTTTCATCATCTGTGTCCACATGTGGGCATATTATTTGCTTAATACGTTTATTTAAATCATCTGTTTTTTAAAAAGATTTTATTTATTTAGCGAGAGGAGAAGAAAGGGAGAGAAGGAAAGAAACATCAATGTGTCAGAAATACATTGATTGGTGCCTCTCACACATCCCCACCTGGGGACCTGGCCTGCAATCCAGGCATGTGCCCTGACCGGGAATTGAACTGGTGACCTTTCGGTTCTCAGGCCAGCACTCGGCCTATTGAGCCACACCGGCCAGGGCAAAATCATCTCTGCATTAATGAAGCTATTATTGCCCTAAGTAATAATATCTGTGAAATGTCAGCCTTAATTGAGTAGTTAGGTATATGCATTCGTAGAAAAAAATTCTTAACAATTGTTCATCCATGTAGCAGTCAAACACTGTCTTTATAAACACTCCCCATTGTACACCCCACAACCGGGGCAAACACTGAGTGGCTCTAAAAGGCACCTACCTTGTGAGTTTCCCTGGTTATTCGACGTCCCGTTCAGCACAGCTGTCTCCCCATTTCTCCTCCGAAGCAGCAGACCTGATGACTGGAAGTCGTGATTTAAGTTTATTAAGTTTCTTCAGCCAAACCTCACAGTTGAGTTAATAACATTCCTAGTCAAATAATTATTGCATGTTTCGGTCTCCAAGGAGTAATCAGAATGTCTTATTGCATAAATATCTACACTTTTGGTGTTTTGTTGGCTGCTTGTTGAGTACAAATCGACCCCCGGGAAGGCACCTCAAGGGAATCCCACTCAGCCACAAGCAGCGCCATCAGTGCCACTGAGGGACCAGCTTCCATGCTTTTGAATTTAAAGCAAATGCATCTGGCTGAACTGACAACCACGGAGAACAACTTCCCAGCCTCCTGCCTGACGACACCCCATCGGTCTTTGGACCAGGAACAGAGAGGGATGCGCTCTGTGGTGCAAGACCTCCGCCTCCAGCTGTGGCCAACATCTGCTTTCGGTCTCCCTCAGCTCTGGCCAGAGGCGACACCCTTCACGATTTCTGCCCAGAACCGGGTGGCGTGTTCCACACGAATGCACGAGAGAACGGATTCCTAGAGGGAAGGAGCGATTTTCTATGTGCAGCATCAGGGGCATAGCGCCCCTGCCCTGCCTCTGGGCCCCCCGAGGATCCGGTCGTCTCCCGTGTGGGCACTGGGTGAAGTGGACTGCAGTGCAGCTGCTATGAGGCCTCGTGATTCCATGAAGAACAGAAGGCCAATGGCCGGGCTTGTTTATTCCATAGAGTAGTGTTGCGGTTTCAGACATGTTTACTTTAAGGACTGTTCGTTCCTCTGCACACTTGCTTGCACACGTGCACCCAGGCCCTCACCAAAATGTTCTCTTCTTGTTAAAATCGAGAACAGGGTGGAGTGGGGCCAGTGATGCAGGAAATGAAACGCTCACCTATGTGACCCGGGAGGGATGTCCTTGGAGGCGGGGCCCACCTGCAACAGCGCTTGGCCTGCAGCAGGTAGAGTGCAAGTTCGCTAAATAGACCTGTGGAGATGGCCCCTGGGGGGTCAAGGAGAGAAAAGGACGAATTGAAAAGAGGAATCTGGCCCAACCCTTTCCTCGGGAAGGTCTACTTCATTATCAGAGAGGAGCAAAGACATCCAGAGAACTTTCTGTTCACCAACTTCAGAATTTAGCCATGATTTTCCTTGTTTGCCATTCCATGCGTTCAACTAACATTTATCAAGTGCTTAAGTATGTTGCAGGCTCATGAAGGCATAGGAGCAAAAAAAGGTTTACAGGACACACAGGGCTTTTATTTGGGGGGTGGGGGCGTCCATTCATGAATCCACCAGCAAACAAACACGTGAAGACTATGGTATCAGCTAGTGCCCAGAGCTAAGAAAGCTGAGGGGATGTTAGAAAGATTCTCCAATTCAAAATATTAAATGAAAATAAACTTAAAAAAACCTGGTGCTAGTAGAGAAGGGGAAATCATCCTATGGATTAAGATCCATCTCCTCCGAGACAAGCAACAACGTGAGTCCTCCTTGCGTGGAAGTGGGAGGAGCATCAGTAAGCGCACCCTCCGCCCTAGCCTGGGACCTCGGGGTCCCCCTGCCCCAGTGTGCAGATTTCCAGGCACCTCGACACATAGGGAATGAATGCCTCTCGGATTCCACAGCAGCAAGGGAGCCCAGGTGGGCCCTGTTTTCGATCTAATTTCTCAAATATTTGGTTCCCTGATGCTTTCAGTCCTGAGTTCTTTTTCTCGGGAAAGAGACTCGAGCTTGCCCTGAAAGGCTGCAGCCCTGGAAAGGGGCTGATCTGACCTGCCAGGGGCTGTCGGACAAGGTCTGGAGACAGTTTTGATTTTACAGCTCGGGCGAAGGGTGTCATTGTGGGTAGAGGCCAGGGGCGCCACCCACCCTCCCACGGTGCCCAGGACGGCCCCCACAAAGAAGCATCCAGTCCACCACGCCTCAGTGCTGAGGGTGAGACCTGGGGAATAAGGAGACGAGGTTGCGGTCTTTTGGACCTTAGAACAGCTCAGTCCTCCTTCTGACGACGAGGCTGGAGGGAGGGGAAATCCTTGCCAGGGCAGGAAAAGGAGAGTCCAGGCTCCAGGTCCCAGTTCTCTCTGGACAGTGAGACACCGGAACTTCGCGGTCAGGGCGTACCTCTGGAGTCAACATGCAGTGGACCCTGAGCCTCCCTTTTTTTCACTCTTTAATCCACCTTGAAAAGCAAGAACTAGGACATGAGAAGGTAAGTTTGTGTGAACAGGTGCACGAATATCCAGTGGACATTCAAGAAATATTTATAGATCCGAAGATCAGATTTTACTTCGAGGGGGAAATACAACCCACAGTCTCACGCCATCTCCCTTGACGTCCAGAGCCGAGTGGAATGAATGGAATAAACAAGGACCCTGGGCCCCAGGAAGCTTCCAGGTCCGACCGGAATGATTCCGTCTGTTGGTCGGCGCTGGTTATTTTTAAAGGGGAATCTGAGAACCGGAGGATTTTGTCCTGGCTTGAGTCAGGGACACAGCTGTGACCGATGCCCAGGGTTCTAGCCCCCGAGGCCAACATTCTTGCCCTGACTTGACCACATTGTGTCTCCGCAATTTTCCATTGTTTTACTTTTCTCGCTAAGACTGTTAAAAAAAAAAACAACCAATGCATTGTATAAGGTTTTCCTCCTCAGGGTTTGAAGAAGACCAATGGATTTCTGGTTCACTGGAAATGACCCAGAAAACAAAATTATCCAGACTATATCCCATTCCCCAAATTTTCCACTTAATCAAGGTTTGATGGTGTTTGCTTTGCACAAAGAAAACGTCTCTCGTAAGACATTGGGACTCGAATAGATGTGAGCCGTGCCTATGTGGTCTCATAATTTATGTGCTTGGGTTGATGTTTCATGGGCAACTGGGCGGGGATCACAGGCGTAGACAAAGAAGATGCTAGCAGCATAAAAGACATCACCAGAAAGCCTTTAGAAGACGAACCCTTCACATCTTCAATTACAAGACAACCTGATGCAGAGAGAGAATAAATTAATTTAAAAACCTCCTGCACAAAGAGAGTAATGGAAAAATACATCACAAGTAGTTATCCCTTTTGTGCTAAAAACAAGCGGTTTGGAGGAATCTGCATGGGGCTGAATGTGTTAGTTTTATTATCTTTTTCTGGCTTTAAATTCTTAGGGGGGAGAAAAAGAGAACAAGAAAAAAAAAAGAAGCTTTCATTCTTGGGCATTGCCAAGCACTGGGCTATATTTTCTGTGACTTATTCTACTTTAAAAGTTACCTTCAGTCATGAAAAAGAAACCTCGGGATGTCTCATGGCTGATTCCAACAATGGTTCCAGAGAGGCCATTTCTTCTAAGGTTTTGGCCCCAAACTGTTATGTTTCCATTTAGA